TTTTAAAGCTCTGCAATCATGATCTCTAAGGAAACACCTAGGAATTTATATATAAAATGTGTTACATTTATATCCCTCTTTTACACAGGAATTCATGGTGGTTTGCAGTGGTCCCACTTCCCATTTTATCAAGCAACCCCATGAGAACGAGTGATAGAGCCAAAGTCACCTAGTGAATTTCCATGGTTGACTTGATGCTGGATCCTCCTTCTTTTAGTCCAATATTTTAATCAATATATTTGGCTTTTGAAGCTCCTTAAATTTGCACCAATTAATATAGGAACAAGGCTGTCCAAGTGTGAGGATTATGTAGGTGGGGGCTTTGGAAGACCTACTGCCTTCTGAAAAGGTTTCTCTGCTGTTATTAGAAAATAGGCCCAGCACCATAATGTGAACAGTCACGTAGATACAAAAGAAATGGGTCATATACAAAACAAAGAAAAAGGAACGAGAAACTAAATCAATGCATCTGTAACCTTTTTTGTTTATAATTCTTTTGAAGTCTGCAATCCATAAAATCTGAATACCTAAGCCAATCAATATGTACCCATTGTCCTCACCTCTTCCTTCTCGCTTTCCATTTTGAGGTTGGTAACGAGAAAGTATAGATAAGCCAGAAAAAGATTGAGAGTACACATATCCAGATTTGTTTCTGACAGATACCAGTACCTTTTTCCACATTCTGATTGAGTCTATGGCAGGTTAATAGTAACAAGATTAGCATTATTTCTACATCCCATCTAAATCTTTGGTCGGGAAGGTCAGGGTCTGTTACTAAATATATGAATACTACTTATGGAAACAAGAAAGAAAAATGTAAGACTAAGACTAAGACACTAAATAAATAATTCTTATTAGATTGAAACAAAATAGAAGCCAATGAACTAAAGAAGTACCATGTATGATTTCACATTCTTGTATACATACCAATATACCACATAACTCCAACAACTCTTGGCAGTTAATATAGATTATGAATATACAACATACTTTGTCACTCCCAAGGATGCAGATAAAGATCTAGGGCATCCAAAAAGAAAAGAAAAAATAGAACGCTTCACTAATAGTGACTATGAAAGTCCAGAATTTGATTTGGTGGCTTCCCCACATTTTTGTTCAGAGCTGAAATATGTAAAACAGATGAAGAACCTATATCCCTCATCTTCCTCTTAAGTTATTCCCCACCCCAATGAATGAAAATATTTATTTTAAATCCCATTGTTCTCCTAAAAAAAACTTTATCGCATTTGTCAAAAAAATCCTACACTTTTTATTCCTTCAACTAATGAAAACAATCATTCCAATTGCAACGGCTTGTGCAATCTGAAGATGCATTATAAAAAATCTATGAATTCATTGGACATTATCTGACAGAAGCTAAAGCAGTTTATTGTTATCAAACATAGTTTACATTTCCAACTATCAATTAAAGAAGATGTTGCAGAATACAGAAATACTTTCCAGGGCAGCCTGTGATGTGATTTTTCTTTTAAATATTAATATATAGAAAAGGAAACCCCCTTTCTTCTAAGACAGAATTCCAGAAATCTTGCAATACCGAGTGTATCAGCAACAGACACAAACTAAAAACTTGCAGCACAGAATGCAACCTGGTGGTTAATGCATAAACTGTATCAGTCCAATGCTCAGCAGGCCCAGTCCAATGAGAAACCAGCCTGCAGGCTCTATTATCTAAGTGTTGCAATGCAGTCATTTTGGGAAATATCCTCTCCAACAAGACATAAAAGGTATTTAGATAAATAAAATTAAATACTTTCAAACTGATGAGTTTCCAGTTTTCTGTACAATAATCAACATTCAGAAGACTTTGAGATGCATTTCCTTCTGCAATGTTTGCTGCAGAAGGAAAAAAGGGAAGAAGGTATTCATGGTAAGTAACAGAAAAGAACTGAAATAATTCAGAAAGAGGAATAACATTCATTCTCTACTAGCTGCCTGACACTTTAGCCTCGTGAAATAATCTGATCTTGTGCAGCTTTCCGATTTCATTGACAACTAACTCAGCAGCCCATCTGTAAGCAGAGGCAAGCTCAGTACAGTATTGTAGTAATGGAGAATGACGTCAAGAGGCAAGCCTAGGAACCACCTCCCTCTTCTAGTTACAAGCAAAGCATGTGACAGCATTCAAGGCTGGAGCCTTCACTGCAGTTTCGTCAGAGGTTAAAGTACAAGTGCAAACCACTGTTACAACTTCAATCATTTCCAAAGCAATCACATGCCACTTCAGCTTCAGACTTTAGCCTTGTGCACATGCAAGGGAAGAGAAAAAGTAATCCAGAGATTAACAACACCTTCTAATAATGCACCCAAAGCACGCATTAACCTACCAGAAGCATTTGGAGGATGTACCTTCTAAATTACATATTTGTACTGATGCTATTTAGATACAAATAGCTGTTTATTACATCAGAGCTTGTGAAAATAGTCTTTGTACATAGTTCAGATTTTCAGGAAATGCTCACTCATTTGGTTTTTTTCATATCCAACATGCAAAAAATACAGATTCCAGTACCTCCATTTACATTTGCAAATGTAGAATATACAAGGCCAGACATCTCAGGTTTTTTTAAATCACTATACAAAAAGTTCCACTTTTAAGTGTACCGACTATATTACTAGCTGCAGAATGTCAGATCTTTCATCTGTAAGAACACAACCAGAGGGTTTTGTACAAATCTCTGAACTTTTCTGCCTGAGGGTTTGTTGCTGGTATTTTCTGAAAGCAAATGCATCTTTATATTGATCTATGAGAGTTTTCTAGTTCTTTATCACCTAAATAACCCCTTGCAAAGTAAAAATCCCTACTTACTAAATATTCCATTCCTTTTTTTCTAATACAGATGTCACCATTTTGTATCTAATTCTGTGAAAAGTTCATCCACCCCCCCCCCCCCCCCCCCCCCCCCAGTTAACACTGTTGCATGACACACTGGAAAGCTCCAGTACTGGCCCTGGAACAGAAGTGTTCAGGCTACAGACTACCAGCTTGGAGCTGGTCCAGCCTGGTTCTGTCTCCCAGATGAACACAAATATGTTTTGGATGAATTGGTGTGACTGAGACAAAGCCCTTCCTGCTTGTCTAGGAGCAAACCAGAGTGAATTTTCCCCAGCTTTCTTCTAATCAATTAAACGAAGAAACCTGAGAGATGGCAGGAGGAAAGAAGGAATACTATTTACATGCCACTCCCCAAATTAAGGCCATTTCTACTTATGGGGAAACCTGGAAGACAAAGGAGGCATAGAATTGTAACCATTGAAAACTCTGCAACAGCTCGGGACTTGAGCTATGTATGATGGTCTTGAAGCATTCGCTCTAGAGCTCCTCTGCTTCTCCTCATGGAAAGGAATGCAGCCTGCTGCCCTTCCAGCAGGAACCTGCTCGTGATCAGGAAGGGCTGCCAAAAAAGCCTTAACCTGATTTTGACATGCAACTCGGTCCAAAAGGGGCAGCAATCTGCAAAATTGCTTATTTGAAGCAACTAAGGTCATCACCACCCCCCTCACCTTAAAGCTGCGGGTATATAATCAGCAATGACTCACACATACAACTCTAAGACATTAAGTGCTCCCACCAGCAAAATCCCTAAGAGAAAAGGGAAGAGGAAGGGGGTCAGCATCCATTTATCCTTGTTTTCCCACAGTCAAACTGAACTGCTGCCAATCTTGCCTCCCCACGATAAAAGAAAAAGCAACAGCAAACCCAAAGGAAGGAAGGAAGGAAGGAAGGAAGGAAGGGGGGTGGGGGAGTAAATAAACATCGTACCCTGCTCTTTTCATTTCCCATGGATAGCACCCTCAGCCTCTCCCATTCCTCCTTCCATAGTTTATAATTCGGGGGCGGGGGACCGAACGGCGTTCAGGTTTGGGGGGAAGGTAAGATTAAAGGGAACAGCTCTGCAGCACTGCAAAAGCCAAGGCTCGTTATCTGGGACACCAGCAGGCTGATCCACTCGTCCACGTGTGAGTGGTGCTGAAAAGTGTTCGGATGGGTTTCCAGAGCAATATGGATAGGAAGAGCCATCCTCAACTTAAAGTCTCTCCAAGAAAACGCTCTTTCTTCTTCTTTTCCGCCGGATTCTATTTAATCTGCAGCGAGCAGAGGACCAGCAACCTTCCGCGGAGGGGAGGGGGCGGGGGGGTTTTTTGGCAACATACAACCTCCCTTCCTACTTTCGTCCATTCTGCCTGCCGTTTGAACGAATCCGGGCACCCGAAAGGGCCGCGTTCCTGGCTCTCCAGCCCTGGATGCATTGGAATGTGTCAGACCGCCGGGCAACTAGCGAGCTCTCCATTTTCCTCTCCCCATGCCCAAGAGGGGAAAAGATCCGCTACGGAAAAATCAAAAGTCCTTACGCTTACGCACGCAGACACATATACACACAACGCACATTTCGCGCTCTCTAAGGGGATCACTCCTGCCTCGCAGATCTAAGTCTGCACCGTCTGCACTTAAAAAAAGAAAAGAAAAGGCATGGCTGTTCTCAGGATCTTCTGCACCAGACTTCTAAGTTGCGTCTGAACGCAACCACACACCCCTCATTCCCGGCGCCCCGAATTCTCTGCAGAGTAAATGCGGGCATGCGGCGTCTTTTTGCCCGAAACGCGACTGCATGTCAGATCAAGCACCCGCTGCGTAAAACATCCCAGCGAAGCGTGACAGATCGGAATCCCCCAGCCCCAAATTTCAGGGTGCACGGAATTTTTTTTTAACCCCCGCCCGTTCTTGACAGATCGCAGAGCTGGGGTCCCGAATGACTCATGGGTTCCGAAGTCCCTGTAGCCGAGATGTACCGGTCGGTGCACGGGGGGGTCGGAATACTCTGAACCCCACAAGCTTAGCACCCCGTCGCTCCAGGATCTCCCCTCCTGGCGACTCCACGGTCCATTTAAAATCCCAGCGACTGTTCCGAACGTGCCGGCCGGGGCAAGGGGGGGGGTAAGGATCCCCCCGAGACTAAGCCGGCTCTCCGAAGCCCTACCTGGCTGTCGGAGAGATAGTTGAAGACGAAGGAGGAAAGCTCTTCATCCAAAAGCGCGCCGCAGTCCGGCTCCGGTTCCGCCATCTTCCTACTCCTCCGGCAACGGCACGAAACAGCATGCGGCAACGGCAACAGCAAGCACAGTCAGAAACCAGCCAAACCGGGCAGCCGGCGGGGCGAGGCGGAGCCTGGAGCCCGCCGGTTGGAAATGGGCGGCGTCGATGTCAGAGGAGGAGGAGGAGCTGGCAGGCGGGAGGCTCGTCTGGGCTGGGCTTCGCGGGACCGGCAAGGCGGCAGAGCGGCGGTGACAGAGCCGCTTCCTTTCGCGCGCTTTGGGCGGCTGGAGCTCCGGCCCTGGGAAGAGGAATTGCGGCCTTGCGTTTCCCAAGGGCCGCGTCCGCGCGGGTTTCGAAGAGGAAAGAAGAAAACGCGCGTGGCCCCGAGGTCGCCAAAAGTGCTTTGGGGCCTCGGATATCTCGGGGGAGCGCGAGAAGCCCTCTCGGTTCCTTGAGGGGTAGCAGAGTTCCCCTTCCCCGCCTCCTCAAAGGGGAAGAGGAGCCGGGGCAAGTAAACCAGTCGGGCAATTCCACTTCCTGACCCGGCGCTTATCGGTAGTTATCTACTGAAGCGGGAGGAGAAAGCAAATGCACACATGCCTCGAAGTACTGGGCGGCCCTTGTGGCTGTCCGAATTCAGCTCTTATCGCTGAACAAGTTGGGGGGGGGATGAAATACTCGGGAAGAGCAACAGTCCTCTTCCACTGCTGGGGACTTCCCTGGCGGCGTGCCTGAAGAGAAGCAGAAGGGAAAGGAGAAGAAGAAGCAATATTAGTTTTTCACGCGGTGGTATTCCTGAGGCTTTAGGAACTCAGCTATTTTTCTTTCTGAGAATTACCCTGGGTCACAGCCCCAGCAGAATACGCGTTAGGACTGAAGCAAGCAAAGAGATAAGATTTCATTGGAAGAGATTGCCTCAATAAGATCATGAAGTTCCGAGACTTGAAATTACCTAACTCTCTTACTGTCTCTTAAGTAATTGCGTCTGGCGCGGTTCTTTGTAACGTTTTCAAACTTTCACCTGACTTTCTCAATTCTTATCCCGGGTCACTGTCAAAGTGAGCCAATAATCGTCACTCTTAGACGTTGGAGTTAAGTCTGTTCAGAGTGCTCCCATTTTTACTCAGTCACAAAATAGACATCTGTTACGCTGAGAAAGTCAAAAGCATCAAGTGTCATAATTAAGCCAGTTAACAGATGCTGCACTTCATGTCCCTCACAAATAGAAAGTGAACCTGTTGTAAATATTGTTCACACACATGATGGGAAAGTGAAGGCTGCAGGTAATGTTTCTATACAGTATGCACTCTCCTGCTACCTTAATACAATGCCTTTCCCCCAGTAACTGAATTTCAGAGCCCTGCTGAGCTGACATTGTGGTTCTTAGGCATGGAATGTGATCAGCAACTCTTCTCAATCAATATATTAGATGAGAACAAGGAAAAGGGAGACAGCACTAAAAAAAATCCATTTGTGCATGCTGCTTTGGAAGGGAGGGAGGGAGGGAGGGAGGGAGGGAAGGAAGGAAGGAAGGAAGGAAGGAAGGAAGGAAGGAAGGAAGGA